TAAAAAAAAATTACAATAAAAATAAAGTTAGTACATACCATAAAAATTCGTTTCCGCCATTCTTTTCGCCAGGGACTATAATGTGTCCGAAACCAGAATTACTTCCGAAAGCTGAAATTTAATTTTCTGGTTCATAAATTAAATATAATAATTAAATATAATATTATGATATTATATAATATTATTGATTTATTTTTATAGTATATATTACAGTATATAGCAATACAAATTACAGCTTTAACTACTATTGCAAATTAATTGTTTGAAAAGCTTTAACGCAATGTCAGATGCAGATAGCTGAAATAGTGCTTCTTGAAGTGGAGTTTTTCTTGATTCATTTCTTTGTTTTCGTATCTCTTTTAATTGGCTAGTCAAATTTTCCTTTGAGATCTTGCTTGATGATAAGCGAAGCTTTGATTGTTTCATTAATAATGATATATTTGCATGTATTTTCAGATCAGGCTTGTTAAAAAGACCTTGGATTTGCTGCTAATAAATGACAATATAATAAATATGATTCTTAACGAAATTATAAATAGTGGGAAAATGATATATTAGATCGTCACAAATGCAAAATTGCACAAATTCTTCAAGAAAACTGCCATTTAGACATAGCAATTCACTCAAACCAAAGTCATTTGTCATTCCATTATTTTTATCACCTTCCAAATCCTGAGCAAATCTCAATTCCAAATCAGAGGGCAAAGAGATCCAAGGTTTTTGGAGAATCACATGATAAAAGCTAGATGCAAATAATCGTGCACTATTTCCTCTAAGCTGACAAACTGCTAATGGTAAATGAAGCTATTGCGAAAACCATTTTTGAAAGGATTCTAAAGCTTTTGTAATTCCCTGCTCTAAATTATCGAATAGAAGTTAAAATTCTTCATTAGATAATATATCTATAGCTTCCAAAAGCTGATCTAAGAAAAAATATCAAAGTTGCTAGTAAGATTTTGGAGAAATTCATGCCATTCAAAAACTTTGTCTGACATTTCAAGAGCACGTTAACCTGGAGGCAATGTAATTAATTGTCCATTTTCATATAATCATGGAATAGTATCTTGTCCCATTATAAATTGCATTAGAGGCTCATAAAAATGCTTAGCAAAGTTAACTAAGCATTTAAATTAAATATTTAATTTGGGATCATTAATCCAAGTTTTAAAAAGACACTAATCATTGAAATAGGATTTAGGTGTTTTTTATACTTTTCCAATTCTTCAATAAACCAATATATAAATTGGACATGAGCAGAATGACGATCAAGATATTGTTTGGCTGTTTGCAATTCATAACGCAATGAGAATGAAGGGTAACTAATATTGATTGTAATGAAATCCCAGTAACCCATCGTATAACTCTTGAATAATATGAGCATTAATGTTCAGTGATTTATCCTTATCACTTGAATTAGGGTTTCTCAAAATCGAATCAAATCAAATATTTAAGCAATTTGAATTTGATTTGATTTTTTCAAATTGAATCG